CCGCTCGCTCCCCAGCCAGCAGCCCCCTTCCGCAGCCACCTCCCGCCCGCCCCGACCGCGAACTCGCCGCCGCGGTCTCCGTTCGGACCTCGGTGCATCTCACCCCCCGGCCCCTCGATGCGCCTGAGGAGTTGTGATGAGCGGGGTTGGCCTTTTGTCCTCGGCTACGAAGCACGGCCTTTTAATTAGGGTGGTTATATCAAAAGCAGCCATCGCGGGGCCTTCCACTCCAGCTAACAGATGTACCCAATAGGGCTTTTTATTCAAGCACGTTGTGATGTTAAAGATGCTTTGACATTCACTGTAATTTGGCTCCTACCGAGAAACTATGCAAAACCTGTTTTTTCTGATGTTTTGGCGAGTTCTTGGTAACGTGAATGAGTTTTATTAATCTTTATGACCAGCCATCCCTTCTGTCTTGTGTTAGATGGCAGCACGAAGCCAGGTTTTACAGCATGGCTTCTGAGAGTGTATCAATGTAGAGCCAAACTCGCCCCTTGCGTATCCTCAGCAGTTCCAGCAGGGATGAACGTGGCCTGCTCTTGTCTAGTCTGCCTCTTCTCTTAATACGAATACAACATAAAAAGTGGCTTGGAAGGTCTTACAGTGGAGGAAGATTGTGTTCGTTTGGGGGATGATTTCTTTTTAGCCTTTGCCTTATGCAGTTTTATTTTGTGTGGCTGGTTTCTTTCCTTGTGTGTACATAAAACTTTAGATTCTATTTACACCGAGTTATATTTTTGTATATGCATTTGTTTGTCTGTGTGACAGGCCGAATGTGTGTGGCTCTAGATTCCATTCGTACTGTTGCCCTGGATGGAAAACACTCCCTGGAGGAAACCAATGCATTGTTCGTAAGTGTCTGACTTCAAGTTTCTACTGCCCTAGGGGTAATAATAAAAATAATTATTCTTCTGTGAGTTACTTTTCCCTTCAGTATGAGAAAAGGTAATTCACTTCTGCCTTTGGCCTTATTTTTATAAAGAAAAAAAAGGAAAAAATGATGGATTTACAGGGTCACATTTCTGGTAATCAAAAGATTGGCCAATTGCTGCATTTTCTTTGGTGTGTTCATAATGGCATATCTCCAGTTTTTTAAAAAAAACATGACAAGAAAGGAAAAAGGAAAAAAAAAACCTTCCATAAATCAAATAATCAACTATAGTAACAGGAAGCAAAGCTAAAAGGTCTTGATATGAAGCAAGTAAGAACTGAAGTTTTGGGAAACTTTGTGCTAGGCTTGGAATTACA